ATCTGGCCCCAGAGTGCACTCAAGTGCAGAGTTATGCCACTGACTAGAAAACTGCCAACAGACAACAAACAGAACAGCAAAACGGAGGACAGACACTCGCGGAATGCGAAATGAGTCAGGACGGAGCAGGAGCCCCTGCTGTTGGCCACCCCTCTTTTCAGCCATGTTGTTTGCGGCTTAATGCATCGAGTGAAAGAGAGAGAGCAGCAGAGCAACAACAAAACAAAAGTCCAGCGCTGAAATTTGCCATAAATACGGAAGTGTGCGACTTACTTGAAACTTTTGCTGCTGCTGCTTCTGCTGCTGCTGCTGCACGAGGATACAAAGAGTCAACCCACATTCAGAGTGGTTCTGCGGGGTCAGGGTGTGGACTGTCGGAGTGGCAGGAGCGCCAGGAGTGCCACGAGGTGGGTGTTGTACTGGAGGTGGGCCTGCAAAAGTTTTGGCTTTTAAATGGCTTTTACTTTTTTGCCGTATGGCTCCCAGTGGCATAATAAAATACAAAGGTAAATCGAAGTAGAAGCAGCAGCCGCAGCAAAACTGCCTGCTCTTCACTCTCCTGCTGTGGTCGGTCACCTATAGAACGTAAAATTTCATGCGCTCCCCTAGATGAAGATGAAGACGAAGGAGACTTCAGGAGCAGCAGCAGCAGCAACAGCAGCTCCTCTTCATAATCATCAGGTCTCAGCTGTAGAAAGAATCAACCGAGCCCAGGTTGGACAAAAAGTTTCGGTCACCAAATTGTTATTAATTGAGCTTTATAGTTTTCCGAAAGAAACTTCGTTAAACATTTACTTACCATCACCGGGGCCGTCACCGTCACCGTCTCCTGGGGCAGCGCAGCGTTCGTAAATGTTAATAGAGTTTACTGAATAATGCAGCCATCGGGGAGACACGTTAATGGCGCTGCAGAACGGTGAGGGAATACTAACGAGATGAGTGGCGATGCCATGGCCGCCGAAGAAGTAGGTCGTTGATGGTATTCTCTACTGGTAATATCATTTACGAAATAATTAAGACATCTGGTATATTTTAGTGGCACTAAAAGAGATACGAACTAAGGAGAAATCTAAGCAGTAGGTTCTTTAAAAGAAGAGGCACGAAGAAGGTACGACTGGAATGTGAGTATCTCTTGTGCCACTAACGAGATTCTCTCCTAGAGAGCAGACAGACGGACCTTCACAATGGCCAAGAACCAAAACTAATTTGAGATTGCCGTGCTGCAGACTTTCCCCCCTCCCACACGCACAGTGGGGGGCGTGCCCTAATCCTGACGAGCAATCCGCCCCGAGGTGCGTCCAATTTTTGGCGCCTGCATTAATCGAGTTTCTGTTTCCTTTACCTTTGTAAGTCCCCAACAATGGCCGCAGCCACAAAGAGCCGGGGCAGGACCTTCTATTAACCAGATGAAGGTTATTTCATTTGCTTTTAATTTAGTTCGGGGCTCGGCCAGAAGGGTTCCAAAGAAAACCAACCCAACTGAGCCTTTTGTTGCTCCTTCGGCTACCTGTTGCTACGGGCCGTCTGGCGGCTTGGCCTGGCTTAAATCGGAATGTAATCCCTTCTGATTTCTTAATACCCGACGTCCCACATAAGCACATACACACCCTCACACACACAAAAACGAACTAATTTTGTAATGCCCCAACATACCAGCAAGGTATGTACAGATGTCCTGACTGCGGACAATGGGCCCCGGCAAGGACACAATTTGTTTCGTACTCGTTTCTCTGTCTGCAAATGCGTGTATGCGAATGGGAGTGCAACTTAGTCGAAATGCGTATACAATGGCAAATGGCTGTAGCTATAGCTGGAAACAATAGAGTCCCCTGCCCAGATGCTGCCTCATTAATCGGCTCTAATTAGGCGTGCCCCGGATGCCGTCGGACTTCCTGTCGAACGCATCCTGGCAGGCGTCTAAATGGCCACTGGAGCCATCACAATCAATTAGACAGAAAGAAACAATTCATGTTGAGGCGATAGCTATCCCGGCAAATTACGCATACGCACTGTGAGGCTTTGTGCTTTAAGATCTTGATTGGCAGCAGGCCAAAAATTCGCACAAATCAAAAAAGATCAATGGCTACGTCCTGGACCAGAACATTTCGCATTGGCAGTTCCTGTTTTTGCTCGGTTTCGCTTGTGAATTGAGCCGAGACCCGCGTGTGTGATGGCCCCCGTCCGCATCAAAGGAGTGATGAAAGGCACTGGCTTGGTTGCGGCCAGAGCCCCACCATGTTCGTGATGGGAACTGGACAACACTTTGGGTACGAGATGCGATTGCAATCGCTGGAGTATGGCCGTTACCATTGCCATGGCTCTAGGTCCGAGGTCTGCCCGAAGGCTGGCATTAGGCGGGAGAGCTGGTTTGGCAGCCGCAATTTACCCAGTGGCCTCATCATCATCACTCAATGCTGCAGTTTTGGGGAATTTTGAGTGCCCAACTGTGTCGATAATCAATCAACGTGCCTGTTTCTCCTCCAGCCACGGCTTCCGTGCATCGGTGGAACATTCACTTAAGCCAGTTGGGCCTTCCTCTCGATGGCGATGGGGAACATACTCGTCGTATCCATGCAGCATCCTAGGTGCTTGCCAGGTGCTTCCGCCTCGACGCCAAAGTTCGAAGCTTTGCTTAGTGGCAAACAAATAAACAGAACCGAACTGAACTGAACTGAAGACGAAGATGAAGAAGGGCTTTGTTTTTAGGCAGCTGGCAGCATCCAGCTTCCAGCTTCCATTGTGGCCTGGACTCCTGCCAAGAAATTGATTTATATTGTTCGGAAAGTTCTGTTTTCTCAAGCAGCAACTACTTCGGAGAGCACTTTGGCTGGTGGCGGCGGTGCTTTCATTGTTCAAGGACTTAATGAGCGAAACTTTCAGCTTTCAGATTTCAGCAAGCCATCAGCATGATTCATTTAGCATATCTGAAGATTCCAGAGCTCCAGCTCGTTGGTCATGGAGTACCCAAGTCTGTTTGAGTTTCAGCAAATATCTTGGCCTTCTATCGATAGACACCGCACCGATGGACTAAGTTGCGATAATAGCACAGAGATGTCAACGCTGTTTCACGAGTAGGAGTGCCATCGGTGTTGCATGCCACCGGGCTGTGGGTCTGCTGGAAGACGATAAAACATTTTAACGAAAAGTGCACCCAGGAAACGAAAAAATATGGCAGGCGATAAAGGGGAGCCACTTTCCGGTTCGAGCTCCTGCCAAGGACTGCAGCAATTTATTATGATCATTTTGAATAATTCATAAAATGCGGCCTCTGCAAGGGAGCTCCGTACTCCCGTACTCTGTACTCCCGTACTCTGTGGTAGTGCTGTTGCTGCTGGCCCCAAATGTAAAAAGGTCCTTCCAAGCCCAGCCACAGTCGCATGACAAGTTAAGCCACAAGGGGACAATATCACTTTGCCTTTGCGTTTGCTTTTGCCTTGCCACAAGGAGTGGCACCAGAGAGAAAGCTAACAAGCAAAATATGTAACTAAATTTGTACTCCTCGTGCTCGGGCATGGGGTACGGGTACGTGTGTGGCATGCATCGTTTTTCATTCTACGGATTTATGATGAAGATGCTTTTAAAATGTTTCGACTGCGTTGCGATGCGAGGCGATGCCTGCCAGTGTCACTTTGGATTTTTCGGGGCCCGCAGGCAAGGCTTTTGCTTGGCCTTTTCCGCTTGCCTCATCCATTGTCCTTTTGAGTGGCCAAATGCGAAGGGAAAGACATCAGGTGGAAGGATATACTATAGATAGAGAGGGGGAGAGGGAGTCTGTAACCTCCGTTGAAATCTAATTTGATGCCACCGCCCCCTGCCACAGCCACCACACATCCATCCTGCTCCCCAAAGGCAAGCCAAAATGGGTTTTAGCGTACGATTTGTGGTCACGAACCCAACCCCGAACCCAAAGCCAAAGCCAACGCCAGCGCCAAAACTATACACCTGTCGTGGACCCAGATACCAATCCGAATACCAATCTCCTCCTGCCCCACACAGTCGAAGTTGATTGTGCTGTTGGCTGCTCTTCTTTTTCTGGCCAGCGGATTATGACCCTGATCTGGCCAGGTGCCGTTGCCGGTGCCGCCCCTGTCCGAGTAGATATGTGTATCATGTGCAGCTTTAGTTTCACTTTGCCAACTGCATGCCAATGCCGATGCGTTGTCCTTCTTGCTGCATGCCCCATCCGGCCTTGCCTCTGCCTCTGCACCTGCACCTGCACGACTGTGTGTTTGTTTGCTAACTTTCGGGTTACGCTTGGTTATTGGTTTATGGGTCTCATGTGGTTGTCTGCCCGGTGTGTCATTAATTCCGTGTTTTTGCATTCCTGCATTCGAGGAGCTTTCCATTGCCCAGCTATTGCTGCAATCTGCCGGATAAAATGAAGATGAAGTGACGCGAGGATTGAACTTGCTCTAGCCTGAAAGTGGTTTGGATGGTTGAGGGCCATTTTAAACGGATACCCTTTATTCCAATATATTTGCATGGAATTAAACAATCGCTGGGGAATAGTTGTATAACTATTTAGACTTATCTCCGAATTTTAAGCTGCCAATTGACCTACAAGCAAACACAATTCGTATCTGCTGGAATCCCCTTCAATGCGATTTTCAAGTAAAACAAATAAACCACGGCTTAAATATGTTTTTAAAAAACTATAATGCGGCTTAAACTCTTTTTAATTTTTTAATTTCTTTTCAGTGAATGGTATTAATGGTATAAATGATATAAATATATTGAAGCAAGTACCTAATCTTGCACTTTCACCAGAATCGATTAATATTTGCGCTGCAAATCGGAAGGATTGAGTCAAATGAGGACTCCTTGAATCTCTAATTGTGGCGCATGCCTACACATCCGAAGCATCCGACGATCTATAATTTCAAATATGAATCATAATAAATTATCTTTTGACAGCACATATTGTCTGAATCATCATCTAGAAGCTGGTCGCAGTAAGCTCTTAGAAAAATGCCAACTGGTACACATTGAACAACCACAGGAGTCAAACAAAAACGAAGTCAGAGTTCAATCTTATTCAAATTGAATTTTGCACATCTTACGACGATGGGGGACTTGGCAAGGAATCCTGACTCGCAGATCGAAAAGAGCGACCAGTGTCCAGAGTTCTGGGTTGGACACAGCAATCGGCACCTGGCCCAGACCGAGTTCATGCTATACCATATCCAGCCGGGCGTCTACTTCCGTGGCCGGTTCAAGGAACGATGCGAAGAGCGCGGCGTCAACGGCTGGTTTACTTGCAACGCGAAGGCGCAGCAGGTGTTTGGCGTTATGGAAGGCCGGATCAAGGACATACTTAGCATTCGCGGTTGGGTCGAGGAGTCCTGCATCCTCCAGCCCTTTGAGAAGAAGACAGTTTTCTCAACTTTCACGCTCTGCACCCAGCCGGAGTTCACGGCCTTCTCTTTGCGTCTCAGTTTACCGGTGAATAAGAAAAATCGACCGGTGAGCCGAGTGTTGCCAAGAACCAGGAAAAATTAAGAAAATAATCTACGACAGGACGCGTAAGTAAAGCAGAGATCGGCCTCAGCCTCGGCTTATAATTTTCACTCCTTTTCTATTTTATTTTAGTAGCGCTGCGATAAAGAAACGTAAATACATCCCATCCACAGTTTAGGAAGGCGAGCTGAAAGGTAAACAGCTAAGTTACAGCGATTATGGTTATAGATCTTTCATAATACTTAATATGGTTGACGATAATAAAAACATATAAATGCATAAAAAATCTTTTTTATTTTATCGTCTTAAGTTGTATTTTGGGACCCCAAGACTTTTTTCCAAATATTTTGTTCATCTTCTTACTTTTTGTATTGTTTTTTTTCTTGTGCATTTTCATTTTGATTTATTTTAGTATTCATGTCTTTTCAGTCTCTTTTTTTAAACCTGTATGATCTTCGCCAACGTTCCCGCTCAACTTACCGCCTCCTACCGCCGATAAGAACAAGCACTTAGAAAAAGTCGCTAGATGGCGGGCGAAGTCCAGTTGGAGTGGCGCCATATCTTTGAATATTTTTCCACAAAAATCCGCCAGGTGTCTTTTTAGCTAGTTCCAAACAAAAGCGTCCCGTGGCGCTGTTGTGCAATTTGTTGGTCATTTCCGTCCCAGTACTTGCGGTACTGTTAGGCGCGTTTCAGCTCGGTTCGGTTCAGTTGTTCCAGATAAAAAATGAACCAGTTAAAATATTTTTTGGCGCGAAACTCAAACGAAGACTCTCCTCAAATATCTAGACCGATCTACTTATAAAGAAAGTTAATATTACAAAAATCTTAAATTTTCATTTTGGTATCATAGAACCATTATAATGATCGTCAAGGGCATCTCAAGCCCTGGCTCCCGGACCAACTGTTCCTTTCATGATTAACGATGTATCTTACACTTGTTTTCCTCGCCTATTCTGGCTTATTCTTGCAGCTCCGAGACCACTCCACTCCATTCTGTTCGGTGAATGCTGCGTGGCGTGGCCCAAATTACATTAAAAATGCAAAAATTCATAAATTCATGACATGTCGCCGTTACTCCTCCGACTGTTACATGCCATACCCTTACCCCTAGCTCTCCATACTCTCTGCTTCTTTGAAAGGAAGTTATCTTGTTGCTGCTGTTGCTTCTGGTTGTTCCATTAGAGGAATTTCTCTTGGCCAAGTACACAACAAAATGGCGCATGCCAGGCGATGGCAAATGGTGGAGCACTCCCGCCACTTCCCCCTACATCAGTTCTCCTCCACCATTTGCCTGGGGTGTCCCTTAAAACGACTCGAGTTAATTATTCATGCAATGTCGTTGGCAGCACCAACCATCCAGCAGAAGGAGGAGCAGCAGCAGCAGGCGAGGGCAGGCAGCGCAGGACGACCCTTTTTAATATTTATGAACACAACCGATTCTCTAATTATAATTAGGAATTGAAAAGTTAGCACAAGGCACAGCAGCAACAGAAACAAGAGCAGTGGCAACAACAAAAACAACAAGGACAAAAAGCGAGTGGCACGCAACAAAAAGTTTGTGTGCACTGAATCATAATTAAAGGGGGGAGCACTGGAGTGGAGGCCGGCCCTGTTCTTCTTGGTTCTTGGGGGTGGTTCCATCTACTATGGGAAGGGGTGAAAACAGAAGAGAACAGAACACCGGCAAAATGGCGCACACAATGGCATTTTAATGGGGGGCGCACTCGAGTCCTGCTCCTCCCACGGATTGGCTTGCGAAGGAACCTTAAAGATACTTTTCAAGTGTATCTTTGGCTTGCTTGCGAATGATTCGAATATACGAGTAGTTTGTGTATATTTTTAGCTGGGAATGCCTTGATTGTACGTTTGTGTCTTCTGTTCGGAAATGCCTCGAAAAGCCAGGAGGCAGGAACTCTGGCTTAGGTTAGATATTCCGTGCATGCTGCTGCCACTGAGGCGTGACTTGGAGTCCGGCAGCAGAGATTCAGCCTCCTCGGAGATCACGTTCCACTCGCTGGAGCGTGTCTCCAAACGATGCTCAACACAAATATATTGACATGTTTTAATATTTTGTTTGTTATCCCTGCAAACAGAAGGGGACTCCCTGAATTTGAATATCCATGGGATTAATCCCTGGAGCCGGCTTCTAATTACGCCTCCACACTCCCGTCCACAACTCATGAGAGTAATGAGGCAGTTCGCGGGGCGATTTGCTCCACGTCACGGCTGAATTTCACCCAAAAATTGAAAAAAAATCGCAGAGGAAACTCCAATTTCCCCCGGAATCTCCCAATTGGTGTCTGTTTGTGGATATTCGATCGTATTTCATACGAAACAATTGAGCGGAGGAGGCGCGTGGGGCTGGCAGGGCGTGAAATTGCTGCCAATTATCGGACGGGACCGGGACCGGGAACGGGACTGAGACCAAAGCAGGGACGGAGAGCTCTCCATAATTTTCCTCTCGGCAGGCATCTCTGCGGCGGAACCTGCCATCCCAGTCAATCCACAATCCACTCCACTTGATCATCATCTCCGCGCAATGCAATGGTGGAATGGGGGCCGCAGTGCTTCTGGAGCACTGATGATGAGCAGATTACGAGGGCGCGCATCTATTAATAGCGGGACAGGCGAGAGCAAACGAACCCATAAGTCAAATTGAACGGCAACAGTCCAAAAATGTAGAAACGTCTGCGCTCCTCCTCCTTCTCCGAGCTCCGCGCTCCGTCTTTGTCTGCTCTGTTTTTTAGGGCTTAAGTGGGCTTAGCTTCAACGACAAATGGTGCAACGTATCGTGCCCGTGTCCGAGTCCGTGCCCGTGTACCATGTCTCGTGTCCCGTGCTGGAACAGTTTCAGTTGCAACTGCCGCTGCCGCTGGCTGCCGAGTGCTGCATGCAACATGCAACGTGGGCTTAAGTAGGCTTAACTCTCGCTGCAGGGCCGCATTTTATTTTTGGGTGCCAAAGAAATTTCCACCATTGCGGCGCAGCATTCTTCCGTGGATCTTCGGAGGCTGATTTTCTCTTCATTTGCGTCAAGTTCAGCGAGGATTTCCATTGCTTTCTCTGCCTCTGTCTCTGCCACTGCCCTGTCACTCTCGCTTTTCTCCATTCGCGCCATTAAGTTAATGCCTCAAATGTCCTTGCCGCGGCACTCCTCTCCCTTTCTCTCTCTGGTCTCCCTCCCTCCCTTTCCGCTGTCTCTGGCCAAATTAAAGTGTTTGCTGTGCAACATTTACATACGGCATGGCATTTGGCAAACATATGGCTGCGACTAAGTTCATTTATTTTGTGGCATCGTCTCCCCCCGCCTTCCCTGCAGCACAGTGGCAACGCAATATCCATAAAATGCGAAGATAACCATAAGTCCTGTTTAAGTCGCTTGTTTTGTGGGGCAGCGGCAGGCACTGGGGGCACGTATGTGGAGGGGTGCATGAAAGTGCGTCCAGGCCCGTGCCCCACTCCTAATGACACCCCCAGTACATCCGTGCCCACCCTTGGCTCCCTCCCTTGGCTCATCTACATAGCAATAAAACAAGTAGGAAGGCCACCCCAGACATTCCGACTATTAGATACCCGCTAATCGGGTAGGGAGTCTCAGAATCGGTTTTGCCAAGTCTCTCACTCTTTTGCCAACGTTTTTATGAATCCAATATACTCTTGTGCTCTGTGGCATACCACGTATAATAAAATTCGCTGGCATCTTTCCTTTTTCCAACTTTGTTTCGGTCGTGGCCCAACGGGCTGTGGATGCTGGGGAAAGGCATTAACCTAATTTTATATACATTTAATTTTATTTTATTTAATTCTAACACACACGCTGTTGAGAGATGGTGAGACAGAGGGTTGCAATATGAAGAGAGAGAGAGAGAGAGGCGTGGAGAGGTACTGTCTCATTGATGGAGAAATATCGAACTTTGTTTCGGGGTAGCTTTGGCAGAGAAATCCGATTTTTATGGCTAAATTGGTGACTATTTATATTTCGTTTGCAAAGAATGTTTTTCACCGATTTAACAAACCCCAATATCCTGCTGGGGGCAGTGCATCCCAAGTTTGTCAAGTGCTTTCGCGGACAGTCGGAAAGAGCAAACGAGCAAACAGATTTCTGAACGATATGCCAGGGCCAGCATCCATATCCAGTAGAGACCCAGCCATGGAGCCATCCTGGCAACCCTTGCCGCAACGCTGCCCCTCGAACCGCTCGACAATTTGTGCGGCGCTCGTGCGCATATTTCATAACTTTTCGCCTAAGCTGCCCCAAGATAAATGTGCACGAAATCTACACACAAATCGAAAGCTGCATGGCAACAGCAAAACAACAGCCACATGCGGACGGGGCAGGAGCGGGGACTGGGGCAGATGTGGCGAGCGGTGGCCGGGGGGCGGGGACTGTGGCAAGTGTAGCCAATTTAGAAGCGATTTTTGAATAACTCGACTTGCGAGAATTGTTCGTGCGCCGTTTAGACTTTCTGAACAAGATTTATGCAGCAAATGTGTTAACTTGTACATCATTTGATGGAGTTACAGGCCCCGCCGAGTCCTGCCCCATTCCGGAGGCCATCCTTGATCCTTTCTGTTCTGTTCGGTGGCTGCTGCCGACATGCAGGCAAAAGTTTTTTTATTTATGACAATTGGATTTGTGAGTTATGTTTTGTGTATTTGGCCAACAACGAGGCAGATATCTGGCTGGGACTGGAAGTACATGAAACTTAGCATTCCAAAAACTCTAATTTAAATGGTGGGTTCTGCGAGTGCTCCTGGGAGGACTGTCCTGCCTTATACATGCCCTGGTCAGTTTTATTGTTTTCTTGGGTCCCGTCCCGGCTTTGTGATGAATTTGCATCTAAATCGAATGGTCCTGCAGGGGGATCCCGATCCCATTAAAAGGCGTACGAGAATGTCGCCGGGCGTGCGGTCGCATTGCATTTGCATAATCAGCTGAAGCCGGACTCAAGGGCTCAGTGGCCGGGCTTACAGCCGAGGCTGTATCCACCGCCGACTGCCGCCCGCCCCTTCCCAATTTAATTTTAAATATTTTTCTGCATTTGTCTCGTTTCTGTTTCTGTTTCCGTTTCCGAATGGAAAAGCATAATCGTTTGGATTACGGCAAAGAAACTAAAGAAAATGTCTCTCTCGCTTTCTGTGAATTTCGGATCAGTAAAGTGCATCCCAGGACTCCATTTGGGAGAAAGCTGCTCCTGTCTCTGAGCCCGTGGAAGGTGGTACGACTACGAGTGGCATGTAGCATGCAGCATGCAGCATGCGGCATCCCC